ATTCATAACCTCTAAAATTTGGTATGGAAGGTATTGCACTAACTATGGAATCTCATGAATGCGGAAAACCTGTGGAAGGCAGAAAATATGAATCAATCAGATTGAGAAGGAATGTCAAGGGACTTACATCCAACTCAAGAATAGATCGAAGAAATATATGTGTGAAGGGAGGTGCATTTCCTTATCAAGTAAACCTCCATCCCTCAGTCACACTGGGCAAAAGACAAAGAAGAGTGTGGTTCTATGTAGATAGAACCAACTAACTTCTTCCACACGAGGAAGAGGACCTAGAGTTTCTGTAGAAGGAAACTTCGGGTCGAGAGAGATGACGCTAGTGATAGGTCGAGAAGGCTCAACCTAATTAGGTCAAAATTTAAATTTTTGAATTTTGATTTTGAAATTATTTGATTGTTTTGATATTTGATATGATGTTGAGTTTTTTTTTTTTTTTTTTTTTTTTTTTGTATTGTATTATTTTTAGGATTTGGACCCAGTTTAAAACAAGCACGGCATCCGTGTTTCTAAGAATGAGGTTTTGTCTTTGAAACACTACAATGCACATTACTTCTTGAGCTACCATCCATTGATTGGAAGGCACATGTGAAAATAACCCATTCTTTAAGGTACTATTGATTCAAGTACACATAAAGAAGTTGTTATTCCTAAGGACATCACAGCTCAAAATTCCACAAACTTTATAGCTCTATTGTGACAGTCGTCGTTTCTTTATCATCGATTTTGTAAAGATTGTTCACATTGTCTTTAGAAATTGTTTTGACATTCCTGAATTGGGATTGGAGTTGAATTTTCTTGGTATGAGAAATATGATTTCAGGTTCGAATTTCTATTAATGGCTAATAACATGGTCATTTCTTTAATTTTTTCTTTCTGAGCCTAAGCAGATTTCATAACTTTTGACCATGTGATTAAAATATTTTTTTTATTTTCCAAAAATATTTCTAAGCCGATTAATAGTCGACCAAAAGCCATAAGATCACTTAAGTTTTTCCTGAATATAATATCAGATAATTTTTTTAAGAGAGCCTTTCAAGTATTATTAATTAGATGATGATTTAGATACAAATTTTTTATTTTAGGCTCACCTCAAGCTTCTTCTCAAGAGAATTTTTTTCTTGTTTGTGTTTTTTTTTAATCATGACTTACAAGACACATGATTTATGTTCACCTTTTCTTTTCATTCCCATTTTTTCACTGAGTATTACTATATCTCGTGGAGTACAGGTTAATGATTTTGAATATTTAAACTCCCATAATTAATAATTCTAAAATATATCTTACTATGAATTCTGAGCTATTATAGCTCATTCAAAAGTCAGGACTCAATCATATGACAGAAAATTGAAAGGCTCTTGATTTCCTTAGTCAATTACTAGTATTTAATCACACTATTTTATTTTGAACTTCACTTAGGACTTGGTCTGAAATTTTTAAAGTGAAGGATCCAGTTATTGGGGAATTAATTTCATTTTCTTCTGAAATCATAATTTTATTTAAAAAATTGGAATTTTTTTTGTCATGGATTAATTTTTTCTCGGTTGACTCTCCATTGAGCTTTGAACGCCTTTTTTTTTAAGTGAGATTTTCAAACATCGAACAACTCTAGATAACAATGAGCTCTTTCTTTTTTATTATTTTATTACGGTGAGGAGATGTGACAGACTAATATCGATCGCACTAATATCCCTTTTTATCATCGGTATTAGTCAAAAGATAACACCTACTACCCTCAATAAGGGAGAGATCTTAAATTCTCTGTTCTAGCCTGCACCTAAATAGTTTGGATCCGACTCAATATTTTATCTTTGAAGATTTCACCCAAACTATGTTTCATTTGATATCAGTTAGGAGTCAATTGGAACAAATGGATTGACCAAAATCATATTGACAGAACCTTTTTCAGGTTTTTTCAAATAATTTTTCGGCATCGTTATGCTTCAATACTTGAATTTCCTCTCAAGCAAGTATTTGAAACCGAAGCACTCCTTTATGGTATGTCTGATGAGACTGTGGTACAGGCAGTATCTCGTTCCCTCTCTTGTCGACCTCATCGTTTCTTTTAATTCGTGCATGGCCTTCGAGCCAGTTTTTAAACATGCTTCATTGCATGGGATTAACCCAGTTATGCTAATAAGGGATTCATAATAATTAAGGACTGTTCTAAATAACTACTTTCATATTTGCATGTTCTAAGAAGGAACCTCTGTGTTTCTTTAATTCGACTGTCCTGGCATACCTTTTTTTTATATAAGTGGTTGTCTAGTGTGCCTAGGGTGTTAGAAGACTCTCCAACCCAGACGGGATGTAAGTCCTTTTGTTTGGAGTGTTTTATCTTTGTAAATGAACCCCACTATCTATTTTTTCTCGAGGCATCCTTGTCACATCAGCAGGTATATGTCTCACCTCTTGAAGCTCAGCTTATAGTCATAGAATAGAGTTTCTTTCTTTTGACCTTAGGACTACCAAGCTTCATCTTATAGTCATAGAATATATTGATTTTTTTAGCCGGTTTTGTCTGCAAATGCAGCATTAACGATTTGGCCTTTCAAGTTTTTCAGTTTTTTTAATTTTTATTTTTTTGTATTTCAATTATCTAAGTGATTAATAGTGTTTTAATTCACACCATAACAAACGAACTGATCGGTGAAGTTGCCAAGGAAGAATGTTAACAGAGAATAGAATATAATGAACGACAGATAAAAGGGACGCTGTAGTTAGCAGATATATCTCACCGCTGCCATGTTGAAAGATCACAGAAAATGCTTGGTGTTCTCATAATAATATATTTTATACTTTTACTGAAGAAATGATTTCAAAAAGTTATGTTAACTAATATTATTGCCTCTTGATATTGATGAAGTGAGCTTATGAGAGGAGTTTCCTGCTCTTAACTGTTCATTAAATTTTATATTTCTTCTATTGAACTTAATGTTGTCTTCTCTTTCTCCTTCTGTTCGCAGCGGCTAGCTATTATATCTTCATACTTGCAAGAGCTTGAGGAAGCTGTTTCTTGTAGGAAGTAGTCATAACATGATGTCTGATTGTTTGGTATGACTCATATACCAGATATATGACAGATGTTGGAGTGGAACATAGCGAGCTAAAAGAGTGGAGTGAAAGCATCTGTCAAATCAGAGAGTTTCGTTATGTGGGTTGAGGATGCAAGGGCAACGCCCTCGCGGTAGGGTACATGAGTAATTTTGTAATTACATATTGTACTCCAAGATTTTATATATATGTGTATGTATATATATATATATATATATATATATATATATTCTATAGTAACTCTAAAGGGGATTTGTACTCGTTTTGTGAAATCTAAAGAAAGCCGCCGCTTCGCTCCCGAGGACCTAGGCAAATTGCTAAACCTTATTAAATTTCTATGCTTTCTTCTTGATTTGCACTGATTCTTGCAGTTATTTTTCCTAAAATTCTCAACGTTGATAATCCAAAATCTTTTATTTTTGTCGCATCATACCACTACCGGAGGCTCTCTTCTGAGATTACTACAGAAGCTGAGTACATAGCAGTGTTACTACATAAGCTGAGTACATAGCAGTGTCAGAGGCTACATTACTACAGAAGCTGAGTACATAGCAGTGTCAGAGGTTACAAAAGAGATGATATGACTATCGAGCTTCTTGAAAGAATTAGGCAAGAATGATCAGATGGGCATACTCTACAGTGATAGCCTGAGTGTCATGTTCCTTGCCAGGAATCCAGCATTTCAGTCTAGGACTAAGCACATTCAGATCAGGTATCACTTCATACGGTCATTGTTGGATGACGGACAGTTGTTGCTTGAGAAAATTTGTGGAAGCCAGAACCCAACTGATATGTTGACAAAGGGTGTTACTCTGAAGAAACTGAAGTTGTGCGCAACTTCAGACTTCAATTGGTCTTCTGGTGTGAAGACAGGGGCCTTGAGTTGCAGAGGTGGAGGATAATACACTTGAAGAAAAAGGGAAAAGGGCTACACTGCCAGTTGAGGGTATCAGTTTGAGGAAGAACGTTGCAGTCTGTGAACCGGTCTCTAAGTGGGAGATTTGTTGTTTGGAGTTAGGTTAAGAAAAAAAAAACTATTTCGGCCTAAATGCCCCGTTGTGGCTTTCCGCCTTTGCTTCTTCCCATTTTTTTCGCGAATCAGTTTCTCTATCTCCCGTCGTCTCCGCCTCCTGCAGTTCGCGCCCATCTCCGCCTCTCTTGCTTGCAGTTTGCTCCTCCTGTCACATTCGTGAAATAGGAAAGGAGATTTCTCCTTGGATTTTTCTTGAGGCTTACGGGAAGAAGAAGGCAGAAAAAGGTGTGTTTTTCGCAAGGTGCTCTCTCTTAGTTGTTTCTGCGTGCTTGGCAGAAGGAAGAAGAAGATAGTGGAAGAAGAATGTTTCTCTCCTTAATTTCTTCTTGATAGATTGTGGCAGGAGAGAAATAGATTTTTCTCTTGTATTTTTTTTTCTTCTTCGGTATATCTCGGTGTAGAGAGAAGAGAGAAGAAGTGAGAGAAAGAGTTCACTCTTGTAATTGGAGACGATCCATTGGTGTAAATTCCTCAATTAGTAAAATCCGCTGCAACTCTGTGGATGTAGGCAATTTGCCGAACCACGTAAATCTGTGTGTTCTTTTAGTGTGAATTTTTTCGTTCTATTTTTTGCTTCGTCGTCGATCACTTTAAATTTTCAATATACCACAACAACTTAGATTGGTACCTGTTGAATTCAAGAGTGTTCGAGAAATACTCTCAAGATATAGTATGTCTTATAGAGAAAATAATAGAGAGTAGAGTGGAATAGTAAGAACGTGTAACTTGTATTCATGATATGAACCCCCTATTTATAGGAATAGATCTCAGTCTTACATAATTCCATATCAGTTCTCTTATCATTAGATTTTAGAGTGATCTTTTAGTGATTACAAAGATGTTTGAATATAATAAGAATGACGAATTGATTCGGTCGGCTAGAGGTTTGCCGACCGCTTGTCCTCGCCTTGACACCGTCGATGCTTGACCTGAGGCTGAGTAATCTGCCGATTGACCTGAGACCTGGTTGGCATCCTATGGGGAATTTCTTGGCATGTTCTTCTGATTGCTCGATCTAAAAATTCTTTTCTAGTGTCTAATCCATCGTCCATCACCAAACGTGTCCGATCGGTCATTCTGTCCTCCCAAGTTATTCTTTTTTCTTGGGATTAGGGCTGCCATGTTCTTTGTATAAAGTACCATCACGTAAGGAGTTTATGCATGCAAGTGCCAAAAAAAACATATGTATCATTTGCAGCAAAAACATACATAGCAGCTTCCACTTAATTCTTAAATTAATTGAAAGATAATACAACGCAATCATGGTTACAATTGCTTGAAAGGGTGGCAAAACGCTCGAACCCAATATCCACAGACAAAAGATGGTCTACTAAATTCGACCAAAGGGGCTTGCAAAGCAAGAAAAATGCTTCCACAAGCTTATAAAAAGGACAAAGAAGCACACTTAAGCTGATAACTACCATCCTATAACTTAGCGAATTAGCAGAGCTCTTAGAACTCAGTTAAAGGATATAACTGAGTACATTAATCTTATAGCAGTCTTTCAAACATGGCTATCCAAGCCTATCCCCGCTCCATTTTCCATATGATTTCCTGTTTTTACAGTGTGCAGAATAAAATTGCAGGCACCAACAGCTTCTCCTACAGTTAGAAAGACCCAATCATGACCAATAATCTCAAGCACCTTCGATTTATCGAGCTTCCTCATCACCTCACTTCCAGGATTGGCCAGCAACAACTATTGAAAAACAAATTTTTATAATTTATTCAAAATCAATCATTTCCTTAATGTTTAACACACAACAACATCAATAAATCTGAATGAAAATATTCATGTACCTGAAGCTCTCTTCTTTCCAGAGCTTTCTTTATCTCCTTTATCATGCTTATTCCACTTGTGTCAATACTTGTCACAGCTAAAAAGGCAAACAAATAAATTTTATTATGTTAGGCAATACATCATACGTGTGTGAGACATGTACTAATTAATTAACTCACCACCCATGTCAAGTATCACATAATGCAAGCTGGCCTTCTCGCTAATCTTAAGCCTGTCTTCTTCCTCGTTTATCCATCGGGAGATCCTAAACACGAAACAGAGATCTTTGTGATCAACTACTATAACAGATCCCTTATGTCAAACAAGACATATACTACATATATACATATATATTCATACATACCTCTCTCTCAAGTAATTGGCATTAGCAAAATAGATTGGAGCATCAATGCCAAGCACAAGAACACCAGGAATACTCTGCGCTCCGGGATACTGATCCATTCTTCTATAAACCATGGAGTTCGGAATGTTGCCCAACATAGTCGTCCTTGGCCTCGCAATGAACAACAAAACCCTAAGTATTGACACCCCCACCTGCATTAGTTATAATTTACAAGCATAGTAAGAATAAATCCTGCTATCTGATCATTCTAAACAACAACATTATGTTCAAAAATACAAACCGCGGTAACAAGTCCAATCTCGACGCTCCCAAAGACGACTCCAAGGTAAGCACCAATGCAGACGCAGAAATCAATCTTATCAACCTTCCATAGGTGAAAGGCAGCTTCGTAATCTATAAGACCTAACATGGCCGAGATAATGATGGATGACAGAACAACCAGAGGAGTGTAGTGAAACAGAGGGGTGAGGAATAATAAAGTGATCATCACTGCCAATGCCATCACCACGTTGGACACTGCTGTTTTGCAACCGGCGTTGTAATTCACCGCCGATCGTGAAAAAGGTCCTGTTTAATTTCATTAATATTTAGCCTTGTTAGGATAAATCTATGCATGGATCTAAGTAATTACAACTGATGCATAAGAGAAGTACCTGTAGTAAGGTAGCACGATGTCATTGATCCAGCCACGTTCATGGTTCCGAATGCAATCATCTCTTTGTTCCCGTCGATGTTATAGTTCTTGAACATGGCGAAGCTTCTCCCCACAGCAATTCCTTCCTGAATTGACATGAGATTTAACAGATCATTAAAAGCTTTGATTTTTTGAGGTTGGTGGGAGTTGACTTTTACTTACTGCAAGGGCAATGATTCCAGTGACCATTCCGGTTTTGAGGGCCACCATCACGTGCGGCGCAGAGAATGTCAATTTGGTCAAAGAGGGAGGGTTCAGCCCCTTGGTAAGATGGCCAATCTACACGCCGTACAATTCATCAGATCTTATAATTAACTTTAAGAAAGAAAAAACGTGCCTTCATGCATATATATATATTGTTGTATGTAAATGTAATTGCTACTATATTTTTTATGTTATTAAGATGACTAATAAGATATCGGTTATGGAGTTAAGAGAAGAGAATTAACACACCACTTGGACGCCATGAGTATCGGCATGGCTGCAAAACACCACGAGGCTTCCTAATATCACCGATGTTAATGGTGCCGCTGCTGATAGCCAAAAGAACATGGCTCCTCTCTTGCTCTGAGTTCAACATGAAGCGAAAGAAAATGATAATTACTTCAACGATAATAAAATGAGTTATGCTTCGAAATTCAGTTATTTAAAAATTAAGAGCAAGACTAATTATTACCTCTGGGCACCGATGACAATCCGACCACACAAAATGCACGATGATGTGGTTGGATCATCTATGTTGTCCAAACTCCGACATACATGTATAATATTTTTTGTTTATTTTTCACTTTTTACAGAACAAATTTTAAAATAGTGTAGTGGTTTAGAGCTATTGAAAATAAATTTAAAAAGGAAAAAAATATTACATTTGTGCGTCACATATGTACGAAAAGTCAACTAGGATGTAATACATTGTGTAGTACGAGAAAATAATATGTCTACTAAATCAAACGTACATACGACGACACCACTCTGTCAGACACACGGCGTGGTGTGATCCACATCATCATTAACATGTCAGACTGTAGGCGTACTATTTTCTCGTGGAGTACATTGTAGTGTGTAAAGTACATACCTACAACGGTCGTAATATTGTTTTCCTTAAAAAGTGTTTTAAGAATGTCCTTATGATGAATAAAATACATAGCTAGTCATGAGGAAAATATTTTTGAGATTCTAAAACAGAGTAATTCTCAAAATTTTCGTGTGTTTTACGTAATATATGATAGGTTTTATCTCCCAAGCCTACCATTTTAATGCGTTAGTAAACTATATGCAAGTTGAAAGGGATTGAATAAGACTAAGAACGGCTAAAAACATAAGATATGTTTCGCCGACGGACAAAAGGTCTTAGGTGACTTCTCGCTTTTGTAGGACCTAAATTTCTTATGGTGCGAAATCATCTACCAATCATTCCATTATTTATTCGGCAAATATTTAAATAAAAGCTTTTAATGCTTGCTTCCTTGGATTATTCAAAATCAGTATTGCAGCCTCGAATTTCAATTTCCCCAAAAAATAAATTTTCAAGAAAAAAACACATGTTTTTGTTAAAATCCAAATCAATGGCTACAATCTTAAATAGAAGAAAATAATGTCTGTCGTTCGGACGTGCAGATGATGGCGTGGATCGCATCATGTTGCATAATGAGATTTATAATGACGGATGAGATGGTTATCCATTCGGTGGACATTTACTCCCACACCAAGTCTGTCTAGTCCTCACTCGAAATGATGTGATCTATAAAAATATATTTTATTTGAGAGAACTCCAAAAATGAAAGCAGAAAGTGGGCGAATGGTCACATGCTTAAGAAATGAGAATATGAGAAGCAGAGAGACCTAAATGAGCCCAACAAGAAGAGGACAACATGTCGAAAGCTACATATGGGATAGTGGACAAATGGAGGCGACCCTACATTTGGTGCAGAAATCACGGGCCTGTGTCCCCATTCCCCAATCATAATTGAGCTATACATATATATATATATACATATATATAATAAATTAATAAATACATATATATATATATATATACATATATATAATAAATTAATATCTACTGAAATATTTAGAAGAAATTAAAAGTATTAGTTTAAAATTTAAAGATAATATAAATAAAACTCTTTGCTTCTTAAGATCAAAGGATTCGTCATATATAGAAAATAGTATTACGTTCACTACTCCTAAATACATATTACTAATTTTCTTAGGAAAAAAATTGATGTTAATATTTAAATTAAAATATTTGGTTAGAATAAATTTAAAATACTTCCAGGTCTATTTTAAGATAAGTTCAACGTATAGAGATTAATAATTTACACATCTTAAAATGGATAAATGAATATTTAGAGATTCGTCCGAATCAATTTAATCATGATATCCAAAATTGAATTGTTCTTCTCTCTCATGATCGACCCAATTAATTGCAAAACAAAGGAAAAAAATATAAATAGGGGGGTTTAGATACACATAGCATACAATTTCTATGTATTTTCATAATTAACACCTTAACTATTTCATATTTACATGCATAACACATATCAAAAATATCACAATTACTAATTTCTAAAAACTCAAATACAAGTTTTCATCCAAATATTTGTCACCAAAGTGAAATAATTGTAAATATCAAACGTCGCATGGTATGTGTGCAAATTTCCCAAAAAATAAATCTTCAATATATCATATATCCATGCAAAGTATAATTATCAAAGGTATTTTATATTGCCTTGTGATTAAAATAATCTATTTACCATCAATTTTGATTTACAAAATCTAATCTACCATTTTATATGTTTAAATTATGCTTAATATACATTATTTGTTCAAAAAGATTAATGATACAAATATTAAATATACATAAAAAGTTTGGCATCACATAAGAAAAAGAACAATAATAAATATTGAATCATCTAAGATAAAAAGTAATTTAGTACAAAAAATTCTAATATTCAGAGAAATCTCTCCAGAAAATATTTATACGTGTGGTCATTCATACATGTGGATTAGAAAAAGAAATTTTGTGCGGACTCCTGACGTAGTTCTACGTGCGGCGCAGGGTATTCCTGAGTTATTTTCAGATTTTTTTCTAGGTTATTTTCAATAATCCCGAAATAACCCGCGGTCTTTATTTTCCGCGGTCCTTATTTTTGGGTTATTTCTAGGTTATTTCCTGCGGTCCTTATTTTTGGGTTATTTCTAGGTTATTTCGAGATTATTGAAAATATCCTAGAAATGAATAACTTGCACCGCACGTAGAGGTACGTCAGGTGTGGAATAACTTGCACCGCACGTAGTGGTACGTCAGGTGTCCAGACAGAAAATGCGCGCGTGGATTAAGTATGTACACTCCGAATACATCAATCGACACATATAAATCAGACTTAAAAGTGTATAATGACAGCCATTAATTAATTAAGATAGAGATACTTTACCAAGATGCGTGTGGTGAGGAGGAAGGAAAGGAAGCCGCAACCGAGAACTACGCTCTCCCACCTCCACTGTAGCAGCAAGACAGTGAGAAAGTCCACAATCATTAGCATCGAAAGTTAAACATGTGGTCAACTTTTTAAAGCATAGGAATCCTTATAAATTATATGCCTATCACTTTCAGAAGCTGTTACATTTTATCTTTTTTTTATGCATATATATAGATTTATCATTATATTACTTATATAACCTTTACTTTTGTAAATCACATAAAAATATCAGTAATATTATCTTAATTTAAGTACATGAGGAAGCCATACATAAGTGAAAACATGATGCCCATGCACTGAGTTATGCTCCCTTCTTTATGTTAAAAATTATGCTCAGAACAATTTAAAATTAGAGTATGATTTGCATCCACCAATTAACATGTTATTATGTAATATCAAAAGCATTTTAAAACATATCTTAACTCTGTGAGTGCTGAAAACTTTTCGGTAAGCTTCAGGCGAGGATAGATTAGAATTTGGTGGTCTGATCTTTGACATCAGCTTATGAATTGATAGTTGCTGAATAATTATTTATTGCAAAAGTACAGCTATTGATCAATAAGCGCGTAATAAGCAAAAATAACATGTGAACCCCAGCCCCCTTTGTATATTGGTGCAAGTTGCACGGGCATCCTTTATTATTTTTATATTGAATTAACAGTCTATTTTATCACACAAGATTTTGCATTCAAAATTTATATCATATTAATACCAAGCAATTGGATACGGCAAATAAATATTGTAGATATATTAATCGTCCGGATATACTGACAAGCCATCGTGTACTTGTTATGGTGTGATTCATGCAGTCGTCTGTGCATGTCGGAAAGTATGAATTGTTGAAGAAAATAATTACAGATTAGGGGAATTAGGGTACCTGATGAACTTGTGAGAAGATGGACTCTAGCACTGAGGTAAGATCAGTGTTGGTGGTGAAGTGCTCGAGTCCCATAATCCCTTTCAGCTGCTGCAGGCAAACTACAGTTGCTGCTCCACCCATAAACCCAACTATGGTTGAGTGCGATAAGAAATCGACTATAAACCCAAGCCTGCATGCAGCCACACATGATTTAGTCCTATCTTAATACTAAAATGATAATCAAATTTAATGATATATATTAGAGACTATATCGTATAATCATAAACTATCATTTTCTCCTCGTTGCCTTTATCATGATAATCAAAATTAATGATATACATTAGAGACTATATCATATAATCATAAACTATCATTTTCTCCTCGTTGCCTTTGTCACTAGAAGCTTCACGAAGTGAAGAGATCAAGATGCTGATTTGCTACCTACATATCATTTCTCGCCAACTATGATAGTTATAATTACATTTTGAAATATATGTATATAGACATACCACCAATATGTATTTTAATCTTTACATTTATACCATATAAATATTTTATATCATATCAAAATATCATTATTTTAGTTTTTAAAAGGTTAAATACAGCTTCTTATACATAAAAGACATGGTACATATGTAAGAATTAAAGTATAGGTGTTAGATGTGTGAATAACAAAGAATTGAGTGGTCTGCGTGAAAATCGCCCTGTATACCTAAAGCCTTGATTCCAACTTCAGCTGGGAATTAGATAGGATTAAAATAAATGAGCCAAAGTTAGAGTTAAAATTTTGGATTGAATTTTTTTCCAGTCAATTTTGAGCTAACCCTAAGTCAACTCAAAATTGAATAGTTAACTGCTTTAGTGATGTTAGGGCTATTCCTATATACCTAAAGCCTTGATTCCAACTTCAGCTCCCAATGAGATAGGATTAAAATAAATGAGCCAAAGTTACGAGTTAAAATTTTGGATTGAATTTTTTTTCAGTCAATTTTGAGCCAACCCTAACTCAACTCAAGATTGAATAGTTAACTGCTTTAGTGATGTTAGGGCTATGAATTTATCGAATTTAGCTTGAACATCGTTAATCGTTTGAAAATTGATTCAATTTCTGGCTCGGATTGATTTTGGATCGAAATAAAAGATCCTTTCTACGAGTAAAAATATTGGATTGATTTTTTTTTTCGAGCAGATTTTAAGTCTCATCACATTTGAAATTGAAACGTTAACGGCCCTATATATACCGAACATAATTCATGCTAAATTCATGAGATTAGTAGGTAACAGGAGGTTAAAGTGTGGTTGTCTTTTATTTGATAATAATGTAAACCGGGTAACTAAGCAGGCCCACAGCCGCCTGTAGAACGCCGGCGAAGCACGCGGGTACCCACCGCCACATCCCTCGAACTCCCCATCATCGCATACACCAGCGGCGGCACAAAGCTCGAATCTGCATAACATTAATCCGTCCTCGTTCAGCCATTTCGTCATACCAAACCAAAATAGACCCAAAAAACAAAAAAGAGAGAGATTTTTGATAACACACGTACAGAGCCCAAGTATAGGAGGAAGATTAGCTAGCTTGGCGTAGCTGATGCCCTGGGGGATGGCAAGACTGGCTATAGTGATGCCGGCGATGAGGTCGGCGCGAAAGAAGCTAAGAGTGTAGTTTGGAGCCCATTCGAGGATGGGCAGGAAGTATTGGAGGGCACGGATGACTCGCCGGCCGCCTTTTTCTTGTTTGAACTGACGGAAGGGGTCGTCGGGGTAGAAGGTTTCTTTTAGGTTGGAGAGGAAGGTGTCGATGAAGGGGCGAGGAGGGGGGATGGGAACTCGGTGGGCGAGCTCAACGCCGGCCATGTAGGCGGCGTCGGTGTTTCCCATTAAGTGGTGGGTTTTAATGCTCTTAATGGATTGATTAGTGTGGTGATTAGTGTGATTAAGAATAATTTGGAAGCAGGGGTGAGGAGCTTGAGGGGAGGTTTAAGGATGAGTGTGGGAGATGAGGGGCTTGCAGGTGATAGGAAATGGAGGGGTATGGATAGACTTATATAAAGAAGAGGAGTGGGATGTGTGGATGGGCCGGAGGAGGGACAGAGCTTAGCTGGTTCTGTTTTTGTTAAGGGACTCTATGAAGTGGATTTGAATTGATGGGGCCATAATTATTTCACTTGATGAATTGGGATAAATGTAAGTGATGTGTTTTGATACTATTAAAAAAAATAATATTGAATTCATTTTAATGCAAATTAAGAGAGGTTAAAAGAGATCAGAAATATAGTATACATAAATTTTTTTGCAGTACAAGTGTCACAGAAAAAAAGTCAGCGTATGCCCTTTACAAGTTCTAGTACTACTCAATGTATCCCATTAGTTTTATTTCATTCAAATGTATGGGGTGGTCCTTCCACCACAAATTTTATTCAATGTTATAGATATTATGTACTATTCATTGCTGACTTTACTAAATATACATGGATCTATCCTATGATGCAAACATATGAAGTTATTACACATTTTATACGTTTCAAACATCAAGTTGAGCTTCAGTTTAACAATTGCATTAAGGTTTTAAGATCCGACAGAGGTGGTGAATGTATCAATCATCAATTCAAAAATCATTTTCATACTTATGGAATTATTCCCCAAACAAGTTGTTCATATACTCATCAGCAAAATGACATTGTTGAACAAAAGCATCGTCACATATTGTAGACAACCTGTGTCTCCTCGCTGACTCAAGTGTGCATTCCTCCCTATGGCTAGAAACTGTGCAAACAACCATATATTTGATTAATCCCCTGCCCTCTCCCAATACGTTCAATAAATAATCTTATCAGCTTCTTTATCGGATTGTACCTTACTATAATCAACTGAAATCTTTTGGATGTGAATATTTCCCATGGTTACCTCATATTCACGGGAACAAGCTTCGACAAAGTTCCCTGTGATGTGTAATTCTAGGTTATCTGGACAACATCAAAGGGTACAAATGCTATGATTCTTCCACCGGTAAGATGTCGATCTCTCATCTTGTTGTATTCAACAAACATGTTTTTACCTATAAACAAAACACGTCCTTGTGATGTGTAATTCCAGGTTATTTGGACATCATCAAAGGGTACAAATGCTATGATTCTTCCACTGGTAAGATGTCGATCTCTCATCTTGTTGCATTCAACAAACATGTTTTTACCTATAAACAAAACACTACACTTAACAATCCCAACTCATCTGCATGTCCCTTATCCTTGCTTCTCAACCTTCTACCTATCTCTACCATTCACAACTCCACCACTCCAACCAATCAGCTAACTGAACACCATTCATCATCTGATTCCATAACTGAAACCTCACCTCCTCAATTTCACAGACCAATTAACTTCCCAATCGAAGAACCATCCACTGCCCCAACTGTTATCTCCAACCAGCAACCTGCTCATCACCCTATGTTAACTTGATCCAAAACAGGTTGTCTACAACCCAAAAAAGTCTTTGATCTATTGCATATTACTATTCCTCAAATAGAACCCACCACATACAAGCATGCGACTCAATTTCCACAGTGGCAACAAGCTATGACGGATGAGTTCCAAGCTCTACAAAATTAGAAAACATGAAAACTCGTTGTGGCAACAAGCTACGACGGATGAGTTTCAAGCTCTACAAAATTAGAAAACATGAAAACTCGTTCCTCCTCCCATCAACCAACCAGTATTTGGAAATAAATGGATCTATCAAATCAAGAGGAATGCTGATGGTACTATTGCTAGATATAAAGTTTGCTTAGTTGCCTTGGAATATCAATAAGAATACTATTTACACTATACTGATACTTTTAGTCCTGTTGCCAAGATTCCTACCATTCGGTTACTGCTTATTATTACTCTTCATTATCAATGGCAAGTATTACAAATGGATGCTTCTAATGCTTTCTCAACGAGACTCTCCACAAAACAATTTATATTCATAAACCTCAAGGTCACATAGATCCTCACTATCCTTGACATGTATGCCTTCTACATAAATCATTATATGGTCTCAAACAGGCACTAAGACAATGGTTTCGTACTTTCACTACTCATATTGTAATGTTCCTCTTCAGAGTTAGCAATGCAGATCCATCCATCTATATTTATAATCACAATAAGAATATCCTATATTTTTTACTTTATTAAGATGAAATTTTTTTGACATAGAATAATTCAAGCTTAATTAGACTATTCAAGAAAGATTTACAACACACTTTCTTCATGAAATTTATGGATTCCGTTACTACATTTCTTAGCATCAACATCAAACACACTTCATACGACTTCATCTTAATCAAGCTAACTATGCCAAGGAAATTCTTCAACGTGCTGGCATGAGTGATTGTACATCTGTTCCCAATCCCCAAACCATCTCCACCCAAATAGTCGTTGATTCTCATAAACCTTACAGTAATTCACATCTTTACAAGCATTTGGCTGGTTCATTACAATATCTTACTCTAACCCGACCGGATATTGTATTTGTTGGAAATACTCTTTATCAACATCTTCAAAATCATCTTCAATAAATTATCACAATCTCAAACATTTTCTTTGCTACATCAAAGGCACCTACAATTACTTGGTATACCTCTACAAACCGGGCCTCTGATTCTCCACTCATATACCTAGCTAGTTTGGCGAATGATACAAATGACAGGAGATCAGTCAAAGACTATTGTACGTTTTTTGGACTGAATCCACCATCATGGTATGTAAAGAAGCAACCAACTGTTGCAAGATCCTCCACCAAAGCCAAGTATCGAGCTATAGCATCCGCAGTCACTGAAGTTATCTGGTTGAGACGACTTCTACAATACTTCTCTATAACTCTTCAAGATCTTACAATCATTTATTGTGACAACATGTCCGCTATGACAATTGCTACCAATCCTATTTTCCACGCCCGCACTAAACATATCAAGGTAGACTATCACTTCATCCGGGATCACTTCTACTCAAATGAAATTACCATATCATATCTCTCTTCAAGAAGAGCAAACAAACGGCTGATATTTTCACCAAACCACCATCAACTTCTTGATTCCAAAAACTTAGATACAAACTAACAATATTTACTGCCCATTTTATTAGTTTGAGGGAGCATGGTAGAGAGGATAAAGAGGATTCACACTCTCAGAATTTGGGTTCACTATAACCTATACTGTTCTCAGTGTTTACATACCGCTTTCCCCTTTCTCAGTTTACCTATATAGGTACTGCTTTGTATTTCCAGTTTTAGATGATAATAATAATATCTTTCTCTGTTTCTTTTTCTTACTGTCGTTATTTTCTTCTTACCGTTATTCTTCCTTCCTCGCTTCTCTGTTTGCTTTGGTTCATACATTCAAGAAGCTTCAACAACAAAATATGTCAAGAATTTCCCTTACCAAAATAGTTCAGAATAAGAGTAGAAATATTACTTTGTATAAATTAATGGCAAAGAAGGAATATAATTATATGATGCAAAGATGAGAGCTAAGTGCTAAGTGCTGGGAAGAAAAAATTGCTCTTATTGATAGAAGTCCCCTTCCTTTCTTTCGGTTGTGAAAGTTAAAATTAATTAGAGCTTTTCTCAGTTATAGTTGAAAGGTTTTGCTTTTGATGGAACTTAAAATTAAAATTAAAAAAAAAATACTTTTTCATCTTAAAGAAACACATGAAATTATGTTAAACAATTTTTTTTTTTTGCAAAAGACAAAAAAAAGAGTCTTATCAAACCAAATTTATTAGCCTAAGAGCACTTAAATGATGTTATTCATTAATGAGCCTTAATTAAGCCTTAATAAAGCTTTTAAAAGAACTTTTTGAGATGCTTTAAGCTTGTTCATTTAAAAAGCTAATATTTACAAAAAAAAAATGTTTGAGCTTGTTTGTAAGCCTAACCACAAATGATTTGTCAAATATTTAGTTCATTTGCTACCCTATCAAAAGGTGTCTCCCTTCTCCAAAGTTGGCAGATCCTCTCTTGTTTCTCCCTTAATTTCCACTCTTTATAGTTGCGCAAAATACTCGACATAAAATTTATTAATTAATTCATCATAGCATATTTATATGTAGGGCTGTCAATTTGGCTCATTGTTCGTGAGCAGCTCGTGTTCGGCTCGTTCGTTAAGCCTAACGAGCCGAACATGAACAAATTTTTAAGCTCAAAATGTAAACGAGCCGAACACGAACAACAATTTGTTCGCTCGTGTTCGGCTCGAAATGACTTGAAAAAAAAACTATATAACTTTTTATATAATAATATATTGCATATATTATTTATATAATAATATGTTATATATATTTATGTCTAAGTTTAAATCATAACACCTCATGTGGCAATGTGGTTAGTGTTTTTTTTGTATAGATTTGATCCATGTTCGAATATCACACTTTACATTTATTTTTCTCAAGAGGGATCCGAACCCTAGCCAAGCCTGAGCTCGCTCAAGCTCGGCTCGTTTACAGCCCTATTTATATGTAGATGAATAAAAAAAATTACTACGAAGGTTAATTTACATCTCTCAATTGGACCGGCTCGACCAAATTCAAAATATCTTCAATGATAATTTATGATGAACAGTGCCAAATAAGTGTAGAACATGGACACGTCTTTGACATAGTTCTGATATATATTAGACGCGACATAGAAATGATCGATCTAAATAATATTTATAAATAAATAAAAAAAAGATAATTGTGTGGACTCGTGTGTCTAATATTAATGAATTAAAATTTTCAAATAATATTCTTGAACATATGTCTTATGATTAAAATTTTTAATATATATATATATATAATTTTAAAGTTAAATTTATTTTGATGCAATACAAAACAACTAGTGCTTATATTTTTTATATCATAAACCAAGCATCATCTATGGATCTCTTAGCTGAAAGTTGACGTTTTTCAATTTTTTTTCCCTCTTTTATACAGTTCTTAATCCATTTATTTAATGTTTATCTAATCTGTATAATTATATTAGGAAGATTTACTTACGTACTACTCAATTCTTATGTTTTTTTTGCCTCTTTTATACAGTTCTTAATCCATTTATTTAATGCTTATCTAATCTGTATA